TTGGCTTGAATCAGGATAGCACTCGCACATGACAGAAGTTTTGGGTAGTATCGGTAGTTTGCATGTACATGTAACCTATTTATATGTCTCTGTTCTCACAGAATCATGGTTTAACTCGTGCCTGGAGAACTGGAAGCAAGGTGTTTTTATTCATGATTCTACCAGTCTGGGTTGCTCATTATATGACAAAATACCACAATGTAAGTTTGAATTTTCTTGTCCGATGATGTTACATGTAGCTCTTGAAGACTCGGTGTCGATGTGGTGCATGCTATTGATGAAGAAACTATGAGTTGAATTGTAATTGTACTTAAACTACACTGAAAATAGCCAAATTTAAACCCAGTGAAAAACTAGTATGTTTACAGTATTGATAATGCTATCCACACTTTTGTGTGAATAACAATTTGTCTTGTTCTTTTAATTTAAAATTTAACTCCTTAGTAATATTAGAAAGTTTTGTCTTGTTTTCTGCAGAATAAACCTGGAAATTTAGTTATGAGCAAGCCAGCACTATATCCAGTAAGTTTTATTTTGTAATATTTATTATGTAATAAATTTATTTGGAAATATGTTTCATTGACATTGTAGATACATTTAGCTTTGATTCTCTGATGCTTTGAATAATTTTCACGAAGGTCACAGAAATATTCTTGTGTTTGTATCTCTCGTTACTGTGTTGAATTTGTATAATTCATTAAGATAGGTCTTTTACAACATGCGTGGTGACCTATTAGATTAGTCGGAGTAAATTATTTATGATTTTCATTATGAAATGACCTGGATGAAGAGATATATGTAACAAACAAACAAACATCACTTAAAGAAATACTGTAAAGTACTTTATTTTCACTTGCAACTAATTTTCGCTGAAGGAATGATTCAGTGAAAATAAAATCCAGTCAATATACTTTTTTCCCTATATTTTACATTCAACTCGTCAAAAATCAGTGAAAATAATTTCCATACAAAACACCAAAAAAGTCTTTTCAGCGAAAATTAATTCCAGCCAAAATAAAGTGTTTTACAGTAGTGACGGACAGCAAGCTGTTTCGTACATTATCACTTGACCATGGTAAATCTCATAGTTATGACTTTAGTGTGAAATATGATTGATGATGTGGTACAGTAAATGTCACATAATTTATATTTGAACAGCATGCAGAGAATAACAATTTGTGACAGTATTATATTGACCTATTTGTAAAGATACAACAGTTTAAGTAATTTACCCTATGCTAACAGATTGTCAATAAAATGCGTTCTTACAAGAAAATGTCCACTTGGAACCTGTATTGAGCAACCTTAATTTGGCTTAAATCAGAATATGGGATCGAATAAGAATCCGGGTTGGATCAGGATCCCAACTGGGATCAGAATCTGGGGTTGGATCAGAACATAGTTGGATCAGAATCTGGGGTGACTCTAAAGGCTATGTCTGAAATTGGCTGCTTCTGTTTTCATATTACAAATATTTTCAGTTCAGTGAATTCAAACTCTTAATAATATTTTTTTTTTCTCCTGTACATAGGGCGATTCTGAAGACTAAATCGTGCATCTGTTCAGTATTTTAGATGAACACAGATCCTCTTCATACATTGTTTTGCTGTGAATATAGTTTTATAATAGCAGTCCTTTGAATAGTACAGGCCTTGTTGATGTCAAGATGATTTAGACTGCTTTATTATTGTTGCTTCAGCATGTAAAATATCAAGTTTAACTTTATTATTAGTATGAAATGCACTGCTCAGTGATGTCGCCCTCTAGTGCCAGGAATTGAGACTTGAGGGCGCTCTCACATTGTGTGTTATATATACTCTGAACTGAAATAAATTGTTGACTGAATCTTTTCTGAAAGTGTATTATTTACCCAGAACTATGGTATTAGATCTCTGTGGTCATTGCACACATAATTACGAATATAAGATTTTTAGCCCCGCTGTCATCTATAATGACAGGAATTGTTCATATCCTCGAGGGCAGAGCTCTGTCACAAGATGTTCCTCTTTGCCAAGACACGCACTACTGTACCATGCATTTCTTTGATCTCTGCAAGCTGCTGTATTACGCTGGTCGAAGAGCCGAGGAAAATAGATAAATTCAAGAAAACAACACAAACTCAACCTAGGAGTAATCCTGAACAACAAAATTGATATATTTTGTGCATGCAGGGGTGATCTTGTTACACTGTTAAGGGGAGTCTCACCTAAAATACCGTTTTCTGAAAGTTTTCAGCCTTTGTTTTCACCATGATGGTTGCCAGGCGGTGAAAATGCCCGGATGTCCGCCCGAGAATAGGTGATTGTCCGCTGTCATCCATTAACAAATCTATTTTTGACTTATTCCTGAAAACTACAAGCTTAATTGCATTGATACTTGGTATGTAGTTGCCTTGAGTGGACCTCTGTCAGATTTGTTCATTTCTTGACAATATCTTTAATTCTCTATTTTTGGCCAATAAAAAAAAATGCTATTTTCGACTTCTTGAAAACTTCCAACTCAATTGTTTTGATAGTTGATATCAAATTGAGCCGATAGTTTTCAAGCCTGTGCATTGCTCAACTTTGCTAACACAATAAAATTGTAAAACAGTGGAATAATTTTTACCGTTTTATGAAGAAAAAAAAATAGTGTAGTTTTAAGTCCTTTGTGATAACTGCCAAGTGACAACCACGTGCTGCTGAATGAAACCCACAAGTCTAAAAGTACATTACTATCATAATATTGTTCTAAACACCAAAAATGGCAACATTGCCAGCTAAAGATTTAACTGGTTTATTATCGACGTCTGGATAACGTGCAATTTAAACAAGTGTACGTGGAACCAACGTCAACCGGAGTTGTCAAACTAACAGTGAGGGACTCTAATTACCTTTCAGTTTATTTCTTCCAATCATATAAATTGTTGCAAATTTATCCGTTAAGGTAGAGATGCAGGTTCGTGGGCACTTGGGAGTGAATTGTTTTTTTTTTTGCTTTTTATTATTCAAACAGTCTTGGCTATAGACTGTTAAAATTTTGTAGAATTGTGAATAGAGGAACATACTCAAAAGACGATTTTAAAATATAGATAACAGGTACAAACATTCTCTCTTTTGAATGCTTAGCAAGATTTAGCAGGGCTGTACATAAATAATAAAAAAAGAGACATGTTGAAAAACAGGAATATTTAACTTTTTACAAAACGATAATGTATTTAAATTTGGAACTGTTACAGCCATTTTAATTATGAGCATTTGCGAACTTCTTACAGAGTGAATTGTTATGCAAATTAGCAATTAGCTCAGCTTCTTTTTAGTGCACATCCCAGAACTTTAAAAAAAATAGCTCCTAGACGCTTTGACCTTTTGTTTTGAAATTTTCACAAATGATGTTTATCTTCAAAACGCCGTTGGGGCATTGTTTTTGGTTGAACAGTGTTTCAACAATCGTACAGACAACTAGCCTGGGTGTTAATTTATGCATAAACTTGAAGTAGTGAAATTTGAGCTGCTGCCCTGCAAAATTGACAACTGGTAGACAGTTTTCAAGACAGCACTTTCTTCATAGTAAACAGATGTACCCGTAAACCAATTTTGACAGGAAACAGAAGCATGGTGTAGAAGCTATTTTTTTTTAATTACTTTTGACCAAAAAAGCACATTTTTGTGCATATTTCAAACTACATTGTCCATAAACAAAAAATACTAACAAAATTTTAAAATTCATACAATAAGCTTTCCGAAAATATATAGTTTTGTAGACAAGCGAGGTCATCTTGATTTCCTAATTAACTAATTAAAATACCTGTCAGGTCAACTGCATCTCCACCTTAAACAAAACAAAATTAAAACAAAATGTATGAACTGACATCTAACATGGTGTGTTTAGTGCATGGTATAACAATAACTGCGTGCATTTTGCCAAATGGCACAACCTGGTAAAAACGGTTTGATTTATTCACGAAATAATCTTGAGATGTGCTTTGCAAACTAGTCAGCAACTTATCTGACAATTTTGCTGTTCGGGAAAAGTGTGACTGTGAAGTGGTAATGTCTTCTATATTGAGTTTAATATACTGGTATGTACTGTATGTTGTGTCCATGAGATGTGTCAGATTGTTTCTAGACAACCCAAAATCACCCATACATGGCAGGTCGTGTCTGAAGCAGGCAGCCATACAGAAGGAAATAAACCAGTCCAGCATGCAAACCATCAGTGTGTGTGTGCGATTCAACAAAAAACTTGAATCCTAACACAAACTAATTTTAAAACCCGTTTCGGCCAATCACAGTGCTTCATTGCCAGACTTTATCCACTGGTACTCTAAATCTTCTGTTTCAATCAAATCTCTTCTCATAAAGACTTGTATAAATGTTCCAGAATTTGCCTAAAGTATTGTACATACCAGTAGATCATGTCTCAATTCAATGATGAAACACTGACAAAGATTAACAGTGCCTATTGAGCTATCTGGAACCCGAGGTTAGTCATTGGCTTTTTGGCTATAATTTTAAGTTAGATAATGAATATTCATTAGTTTATAATATGCATGAGAACAATGACTACAAATTTTGAAAGGTCATTACAAACAAATTGTATTGCGTAATAAAAGTTCCAGAAGTTTTATAGTTTATTGGAAATTGGGGCATGGTCCCCTTTCCTGATTATGAATTTTGTGCATGGTAGTTGACATGACTCGCTGAATACTGGTACCTTCAAAAATATGAGAATTTCCCCAAAATAACTTTAGATAGTTTGGGGGCGATGGCTTTTAAGCAAGATAAAGCCCTCCGACTTGTTTGGATATCTGAATGGCTGGATCGTCTGAATCGCACCGTTTGCCGACTTATTGCAGACTCGACCAACCCGTGCGCGATCAGCCTGGGAAACGCGTATTTTATGTTAAACAAATGACCAAGTTTGATTGGATGTGCCTGTTGGAATGGCGCCCAATCAAACGCTGTGTAACATTGCACGGTAACCTAAAGAACAAAATGTCGGAAATGGCAACATGTAGCAGTTGATCATTCATTGAACTGTTGCCAGGTTTTCGTGATTTGCCACTCCCTGTCTTCGTTGCAACAAACTCATCTTTTTTCAGCTAGTAATGCCTCAATTGCATGGTTTTGGTAATCGGTGATGCTTTTTATCTTAAAAAACTGCGAGATCTGTTCTGCCTGGGTCGCCATTTAAAAAAAACGCTCTACAGTATTTTGATACAAGATGGCTGATTGGCTGTTTATTCTCCCCTTCTTGTCTTTAAGGCGCCTATTAAATACACACTGTAGTGGTTCAATCTGCCAAGGGTTAGTTTTGAGGGGTGACCCGTAACAAACATTCCTTGGCTGGCGAGGATGGGAGGGCTGCAACATTTTATCTTGAGTCAGATTTTATCTCCCAGAAGAGTTCTTGTACTCTGGCTCCATTCTACACTGAAAGATACATGTATACTTTTAGCTCATGCCAAGAAAATGTAGGGGACCATATAGCTGTTGTAGGTAGCTGTGCATGTCCAACAACGCTGAAATTGTTTTTGTTGTTTTTTTGCCTCTCAAACTTGTAAATTTCTAATGCATGTACAACACTTGAGTAGTACACAACTTCAAAATAAATATTTTTTGTAGCTTCAGAAAACTGTCTATTTCACCAGACATTCTGATCGTAGAACAACTTTACCGGTAAATACTTTTCTTTGTAGTTGATGTCTTTCAGCTTTCTAAATAAAACAAATTCAGAAGCCAACCCAACTTTATAGGTGTGCTTTTTTTTTTATATCTCGCGCACCAGCTTATGACTGAGGTGGAGTAAACAAAGAAACCTTTTTGTCTCTTTAAATGAATGCTGGTGTTGGGTACATACATGTAAAGAGACATAAGTATATGCACATGTACATGTACCAGTAAATAAGCAGTAGTGCACCATTATATTCTGTTGTATTCCATGTGGCGTTGACACCTTTCATTTCAAATACACCAAATATTAAGAATGCATTCTGGCAGACACTATCAATATTCAAATTGCTACCTTTAGTAAGCATACAAGTATAAAAGTCAATTTGAAATACCTGTTTATTCCTGATTTAAAATATCTCAAAATATACATTTTTTTTCATCAAAATGAAATTTCATAAATAACAAATAATGCAGGGAACTGTACAATGATAAAGTCAACATGAACATATTCACAAAATTTTGACTAAAGGTAATTAATAATTACAAATCTAATCTTCATTTACACCTTGTTACATTTTTTAACATACATGTATTGGGCCAATACAAAATTTTTTACTTCTTATCCTAAGGTAAAGTGACACGGTTTTATTATTTTTTTTACTACCACCACTGCAACAACTAGAAGATACAGTTAAAAACAGAATTATTCATACCCCTACTGAAATTTCAATGTTTCATGTTTTTCTGGAAAACGACAGGTGTACACAGAATATTTTGACCGTAATTGGATACCTTTACTTGAAAGGTAAAAATTCTGAATGGGTTTTGTATAACCTCATTTGCGTAACAAAAAGAATATTACTTTATTTGTATTTTGACTCGCTCAAAATTATTCATACCCTTTGTTAAAGCATGGCATTTGGCCATATGCATCTGATATGCACATGCTTCAGACATTCCGCATGTTTCTGCATGTTGTTTTGTTCATATTCATATGTGTAGGCATGTCTGAATAATTTCAAAGGTGGTAAGTGAGTTCCGGAATGCCATTGTTCTAGAGTATAAAATCAAGTGCAATAATGGAAACTTCCTCAGTTGTTATGATCATGGCAAAAATGTAAGGAACTCAGCAACGAACTGCGCATGAGCATTGTGAATGCCCACAAAGATGGGAAAGGCTATAAAGCCATTTTCAA